TAACAGAAAGGCGCTCTAAATTCAGACATATTTAGGGAACGAGCTAAGATGTTAAACAGTTCAACTGGCATTTCCCTGCAAATCTCACAATAATATGGTCTTCGGATAGATCTCTTTCCCGCCAGTCTTCGGTGAATACGTTGAAGCCATAACAGGCTTTCAGATCGGAAAATAACAGCAGCGTTCACTGACGAAGAAAGCAATGTTTGAGTGAGAGATACCACATTTGGGTCCGATTCTTTTAACTGGCATACGTTCGCCAATGGCAACAACATTTCCTCGGCAGTTTTTACAAATACTGCTTTATTAAAGTTTTTACCGCCGTCAAATTTCGCCAACAATTCCGCTAACCTTTTGTCAATACTTTTTTCACAATCGTCGCTCTCCCCCTCCGCTAAATCGGTGCCATTTGCACTACTCCCATCCTTAAAAACTTCGTTGATTACTTCTTCAACACTGAAACGTTCCGCCATATTGATTATTTTGAGGGAAGTACTTCATCTTATGCAGACATAATGGATACATTGAAGCGAGACCCCGCTGACCAAAGTGAATGTCATACATAATGTTTTTACAAATTTTATGGCCGGCGTGACAGTTGACAAACTTGATTGAATAGGCTACAATTAGCTCGTAAACAATACCTGCAGCTGTGGTATTTATTCCAAATGATGCAACAAAGTTCACTTTTCAACATTATAACGTTTTTTACTAAGAAAAAATTATTGAATGTCCATACTAATTCATCAGGAAACACTTGGCCAGTATTATGTAGCCTTTTCTTGCACATATCTTGACAACTGATTGAAAACAATACAGGAATGAACAGGTAACAAGAAAACAAAAATTTGCTTCGAAAAATACAAACAAGCCGTCCCAGATTAAAACCCCGAAGTGAACGCGAGGTGCGTACGTCATTTTCACGTCCTCATGGCGTCTGCGTCTTGTTATCTAAAACCGTCTAATGATCAACACTGAACGCAGGCTCGCGTTTACGTACGTCAGTGTTGCCATGGCAACACAATAATTTTTATTATATCTTTTGAAAAATAAGCCAAAAATAGTTGAAAGATTATTGCTTTTAACTATATAACAACGAATTTTTGAAATATGTACTTTAGGTATGTTGCTCTGCATTTTGTGAGCCTTGATTTTAAGTAAAGTTTCACCTGAATCGCTTCGTAAAATGTTTTGAAATATTCATTTTAAAGATGATTTCCACTCCGTTCTGCGGATCAGTTTTGCTCATAACAAAGGGACCCCCAGATAAAAAAAACATTTTCCAAATTTTACATCTTTCGAACTTTATTTGAATTGAGACGTAGTGTTTATACTCATTTACAAGCATAGGAACCAAAAAAGTGTTAGATATTCAGTTAGTATATCATATTTTACAAATAAAAGTAGTTCAAAAAGTAAACAAAGTTCGCGTATCCGCACAGGAGTGGACATCATCTTTAATAACTAAACCTTTTTCCGATAAACTGTTTTCACTTAGTAAAAGAATAAGTTCAAATTGTTTATGATAAGTAATTTCAGTCCGGTTTTCAAATTAATTTACTCTCTTTTACATTTTACCTTTTCTCCTTAAATTAAACAGTGTAATTTAGCAGAGTTACAGCTTCATTGGAAAGGAAAACAGTGCATGTTTGATGCAATAAATTAAATTAAATTAACAAAATTAATAAACATGAAACATTCAAACTTGCCCTATATTCCACGATTTCCCACAGTAAATCAGTTGTTCTCATTTCTTCAAACAAAAATGGCTCCAAAGCTCATTGTGTCTGTGTGAAACGTGATTTTTGGAAATCATTTTCCAAATATATGTGTTTGAAAATTGAAATCTTGCTCGTCCCAATCATGACAAACAGCCATATTTTTCAGATCAGTGAGGTACGCCCACGAGCCATAGTCACGCGCCCGCAATCACTGATGAACTTCAGACTTCGCTATTGCTTTCCTTTTCCCAGGTGTAAATAGCCGGGCGGAATTAGTACCCTCGCTCCGGGCAAACGCCCGGAACAGCGTTCCGCGCTGTTGGTTCGGGGATAACTGTTTAAAGAGTGTCCTGAAGTGGGGGTCCCAATCCCATTTCCCACCTGAAATTTTGGCAAAATCCCAGTCCCAGTTGCATTTTTATTAGAAATCCCAGTCCGAGTTATTGAAATCCCAGTCAATAAAAACCCCTTTATTTATCGGTACAATAAACAGTTTTAAGACTTTTAAGCTGCCGTGTGTGCAAGTGGCGAACACTTTATGAAATATCAGGGGAGCTTCGTGCCGAAGGCACGGAAAATTTTTAAATTTGAATCCCGGAAATGGCATTTGCAGCATTAGGAGACACGCATAATCAGAAAACCCAGAATTTCGGGCGCCAGAGTATGCCTGTTCTCAGGTAGTGCTGTGAATAATATAGTTAACAACAAAAATCATGACCAAAGATACGAAAAACGGATCAAAATTGTATTTTAAAATACTTAAAACGTAGAAAAATTGGGAATCGACTCGCATTACCTCAATCCCATTCCCATTTTTGAGGACTTCATTTCCCATTCCCAGTGGCCAATTCCCAGTCCCAGCAACCCAAATCCCATTTTCCCAATCTAAAAATAGATCAATCCCAGTTCCCATTTTACCCCTTCAGGGCCCTCTTTAAAATGATCACAATACCTAAACTTATTATAGCAAAAAGCGAAAATTGCAGATATCGTTATTTATTTCGAGTTTTAAGTCCTAATGATTTTATGTCAATTTAGCTGGTGAATTATATTCTTACCTGCAAATGCAAAACCCGCAAAGCAGAAGCTTAAAATCAGAAAACCTTCAAAAGAAGACAAACAAAAGATCAGCAGTAAATTAAGAATTTACCAATCCAACATCAGAACGACTTGTTAAGTTGTGATGTTAGTTGCATTTCGCAGGTTGGTCCTTCAATGAGTAAAGCCAGCTATTAGTCTGGCAATGTTGTATGTGAACGTTGTGGTTTCCCACGTTTACGATTCCACTCGTGTTATGTTATGTAGCGTCGTTCTCAGCTTGACCTTGTAGCTCAGACGCTACAGCATCATTTTGGAAATGCGAAGGTCGCGGGTTCGAATCCCATCCGCGGTCAAGTAGAATTTTCTGCTTGCCCGGTTTGGTATAGACTCGTCTGAAAACAACTCAAAAACCGCTACATAACATTACACGAGTGGAATCGTAAACGTGGGAAACCACAACATTCACATACAACATTGCTAGACTAATAGCTGGCTTTACGCATTGAAGGACCAACCTGCTAAATGCAACTAACATCATAACTTAACAAGTCGTTCTCAGCTTGACCTTGTTGCTCAGACGGTAGTGAATCGTTCTAGAAATTCGAAGGTCGCGGGTTCGAAGATTAGAAGACAAACTTCATATATATGATTTTTTCCCTTGAGATTCTACTCGTGATGTAATGTGTAGGTGTTCTGATCTTCTTACGAGTATGAGCCGGGCAAGCAGAAAATTAATTCTACATGACCACGGCTGGGAATTGTACCCGCGACCTTCGCATTTCTAGAACGACGCTCTACCTTCTGAGCTACCACGTGAAGATGGGAACGACATGTAATTTATTTGTGATGTTAATGATATGAAAAACACGTGCGCTGATTGGTCAAAAGCTCAAAAAACCCGTGTTTCTAAAACTCGATAAAAACACGCAGAATTTTCACACAGGTTGCGTGGATTACGTGGGAGTTTAAACAAAATACAAACAATATTTAATATTAAAAAAAAGTTGGAAAACGTCCAAAACGCCGAAGAACCGTCACAAAAAAGGCAACGCGTTGCTAACTTAGAAAGCGAAGGCCTGACGTTCTATCTGTTTGCCTGTTTGCCTTGGTAAGAATAAGATATTTTAGTTTTATTTTGTCTTTTTAAAAATATATTTCCTGGCGACATTTTTAATCATGTTCAAAATAGCAATTGGAATCCTTCCAGAAACTGCTTAAAATAACATTGTGAAACATTCTAGAACAAATTCAAATAATATCTCGAAACCTTATGACAGCCGGGGCACGGCCCGACCCGATCCGACCCCGGTCCATACTTTGAGTGTAAGAGAGCTTTTAGAATACATGCGTTAGAGTGCTTATCCTACTTTTTGTACATAGTTTTTGAAAATATTCCAGAAGTAGAAAATATTCCTCCAAAAGTAAATTGCAGCTTTTTACGTACTTTAAGATCCCCTGAAATTCTAGTTAATATTATATATTTTCAATCTCCGTATATACTTCGAAAGTTCTACCAAGTTCAGTCATTTTTATGACCTAAGTAAGTATATAGCTACAATCCTGGTCAAAAATCCTTGGCGCACTTAGTCGAAATAGCATAACCTTTACTTCATTTCTGACTACCACAAACATACTTGCCCATTTTATGCAAAATTTCATGTCCAAACACCCCCTATCCCCCTTATCAATGTTGTGTAACACCTTGGACGTATAACACACTACACGCAACATTGAACGGGGGAAGTGGGAGTTGCTATGCTTGTTATTGATGTGGGAGTCAAATTTCGCACAGTCATGCAGTGTCAAGTGCGCCAATATTTTTGCCCAGGATTATGAACAAGCCAATTTTTCTCGAATCCATTTCCAGCTGGACATTTCAAAAATGTAAAATAGAAAATCATGCTCCCAATATGCATATTTTTAATAAAGACTTTTTCTTCTTTCAATTCAATTTTGGGCTATAGGTGGTGTGCAAGTTACGTCACCGTCGCCATGTTGCATGACATTTACAAAGAATTTTGCTTGTTTGCAATGCAAATAATTATCATCAATCATCGTGACAATCTCTTTGTCCTTTGATTCCCATGGGAGAGGTTACACATCACCTGCTATCAAGAATGCACGGTATATGCTAGCTACGTTATAGACAAATACGTTTGAGGACGATTATTATACTGTGAATGGTACACGTAATGTGTACATATATGCAACATTTAATTCAGCCTTGTAAGAGAGTCTTATTATGTTGTTAAGACGCTAGCCAAAGGCGACTGATCCTATTCAATGATAAAACCGAATCACGAGTTTTTAAGTGACTTCGGTAATTTCTTTGTCTAATGTGCGTATGTATATAAACATTACTAAAATATGACTATAGCAAAGTTGTGATGCAATTTATGGAATTCGATCGAGCTATTCATTTGCGGTTTAGTTCGCTACTAAAACAACATCATGCATATGCAGTTGAAAATCGAATTCACTATCATATGGGTTTTCATTGTAACATTCTTTCCGGCGCATGTTTGGCGATACCGTTGTTCGCCAACACCTCAAAGAGTTTCAAAATAAATGACATTAAGTATACTATAGTCTTCTAATCAGATGCAAATAGGGAGTGAAGCAAAATATGCACATTTTAGTTCCTTATTTTCGTTTCTGTAGAAGATATGAAGTAGACCAACACTTTAACCAACTAATTAATACAAGAAGAG